AAAGGCGTTGTTTTGTCTTTTTCTGTCATTCTGAGGTAAAAAATGAGGACTGTTATATATTATACTAATATTATATTATTCTATAATATTATATTGTATTTAAGATATAGCATTATATATAATTCTATAATATATAAAGCACATCATTATATATAATTATTGTGCAATAATTATATAATATATAGCCTCCACCACAGTCTCCAGGGCAGTAGGAGTGAAGACGGACAGGTTGGTGGTTCGAATCCAGGGAGAGTGCAGATGAGCTCCCTCTGTCAGCTCCAGCTGCCAATGCGCGGACAAGAAAGAAGCTTGCTCCCTCCTCCCTAGGACTTCCCCTTACATATTTATACATGGCTATCATGTCTCCTCTCAGCCTTCTCGTCAAGGTTCTGGAGAACAAGCCCTATGAGGAGCGGCTTAAAGAATTGGGCATGTTTATGCTGAAGAAGAGAAGGCTGAGAGGAGACATGATAGCCATGTATAAACATGTGAGGGGAAGTCCTACGGAGGAGGGAGCAGGCTTCCTTTCTGCTTCCCTGGAGAGTAGGACGCAATGGAACAATCACCTGTCATGAGCGAACCAAACAGTTGTATTGTATTAAACAAACAAACAAACAAACAAAACACAAGGTTTGCAAGCTTGGTAGTTGATTAAATGTCCTTTGACCAGTATCTGTCCACTTGGAGTGCCTCTGGTGTTGCTGCAGGAAGGTCCTCCATTGTGCATGTAGCAGAGCTCAGGGTGCATTGCAGCAGGTGGTCAGTGGTCTGCTCTTCTCCACACTCGCATGTCATGGATTCCACTTTGTGGCCCCATTTCTTGAGGTTGGCTCTGCATCTTGTGGTGCCTTCCAAGTCGCCCAGTCTTCTGTGTGCCCAGGAAGGAGTCTCTCATTTGGTATCAGCCATTCATTGAGACTCTGGGTTTGAGCCTGCCACTTTTGGATTCTCGCTTGCTGAGGCGTTCCAGCGAGTGTCTCTGTAGATCTTAGGAAGCTATTTCTTGATTTAAGTCATTGACGTGCTGGCTGATACCCAAACAAGGGATGAGCTGGAGATGTCTCTGCCTTGGTCCTTTCACTATTGGCTGCTACTTCCTGGCAGATGTGAGGTGGTGCGATACCGGCTAAGCAGTGTAATTTCTCCAGTGGTGTAGGGCGCAGACACCCCGTGATAATGCGGCATGTCTCATTAAGGGCCACATCCACTGTTGTAACATGGTGAGATGTGTTCCACACTGGGCATGTGTACTCAGCAACAGAGTAGCCAAGCGCAAGGGCAGATGTCTTCACTGTGTCTGGTTGTGGTCCCCAGGTTGTGCCAGTCAGCTTTCGTATTATGTTGTTTCTAGCACCCACTTTTTGCTCGATGTTCAGGCAATGCTTCTTGTAGGTAAGAGCACGGTCCAGAGTGACTCCCAGGTATTTGGGTGCGCTGCAATGCTCCAGTGGGATTCCTTCCCAGGTAATCCTCAGAGCTCGGGATGCTTGTCTGTTCTTAAGATGAAAAGCACATGTCTGTGTTTTAGATTTATTATTGTGCAATCGCTGACATTGCGCAATTGCGTCCGCCATTAACGAATCGATTCGTAATTAACAAAATTTCGGAAATTTCGAAATTTTGAAATCATAAATTTCAGAAGGCCTCTGAAATTCGAAACGCTGGTTCCCCCTAGAAACGAAG